AAAAAACAAATGGCAGTATTTCATCTTTTCTTATGGCAGAGTAGTATTCCATTGTGTATGTATGTACCACATCTTCTTTATCCAATCATCTATTGAAGAACACTTTGGTTGTTTCCATGTCTTGCACACCACGAATAATGCTGCGATAGATATAGGGGTACATATATTTTTACAGATAAATGTTTTCAGATTTTGGGGGTAGATACCAAAGAGAGGGATTGCTGGGTCATATGGCAATTCTATTCTTAATTTTTTGAGGACCCTCCATACTGTTTTCCATAGTGGCTGCACCAATTTACACTCCCACAAACAGTATATGAGGGTTCGTTTTTCTCCAAAATCTCTCCAACACTTGTTATTATTTTTCTTGATGATAGCCATTTAAATGGTGTGAGGTAGTATTTCATTGTGGTTTTGATTTGTATTTCCACACTAGCTAGAGAAGTTGAACATTTTTTCATATATCTGTTGGCTGTTTGTATGTTTTGTTGGGAGAAGTGTCTGTGCATGTCCTCTGCCCATTTTTAATTGGATCGTTTGTCTTTTTGTTGTTGAGTTGTATGAACTTCTTACATATTTTGGATATTAGCCCCTTATCGGAGGCATTGTTTGCAAATATCTACTCCTGTTTGGTTGGTTGCCTCTTTGATTTCTCGATGGTTTCTTTTGCTGTGCAGATTTTTAGTTTGATATAGTCCCATTCATTTATTTTAGCTTTTACTTCCCTTGTCTTTGAGATCAAATTCATAAAATCCTTTCTGAACCCAAGGTCCATAAGTTTAGTACCTACGCTTTCTTCTCTGTAGTTTATTGTTTCAGGTCTTATGTTTTGGTCTTTGATCCATTTTGAGTTAATTTGGGTACATGGTGACAGATAACAGTCTAGTTTCATTCTTTTGCATGTGGCTTTCCAATTTTCCCTGCACCATTTATTGAAGAGGCTTTGTTTTCTCTATTGTATGTTTTTGGCTCCTTTGTCGAAAATTATCTGTCCATATTTATGGGTTATTTCAGGGTTTTCAATTCTATTCCATTGGTCTGTATGTCTGTTTTTCTTCCAGTACAATGCTGTTTGGATCACTGTTGCCCTGTAGTACAAGCTGAAGTCAGGGAGTGTGATACCTCAAGCCTAGTTCTTTTTTCTGAGGATTGCTTTGGCTATTCAGGTTCTTTAATGATTCCATACAAATCTGATGATATTTTGTTCTATTTCTTTAAAAAATACCATTAGGATTTTGATGGGGATTGCATTAAATCTGTGTATTGCCTTGGGTAATATGCCATTTTAACTATGTTGATTCTTCCAATCCATGAACGCAGAATGTCTTTCTATTTCTTTGTGTCTTCTTCAATTTCTTTTAAAAATGTCTTACAAATTTCAGTGTATCAGTCATTCACACCCTTGGTTAAGTTTATTCCTAGGTATTTTATAATTTTTGTTGCAATTGCAAAAGTAATTTTTAAAATTTCTTTTTCTGAAATTTCATTGTTAGTATTATGAACACAATGGATTTTTGTACATTGATTTTGTAGCCAACAACTTTACTGTATTCATTTATTATTTCTAATAGCTTTTTGGTGGCATCTTTAGGATTTTATATAGAAATTTATGTCATCTGCAAAAAGTGACAATTTAACTTCTTCATTCCCAATTCAGATGCATATAATATCTTTCTCTTGCCAATCGTACTGTCTGGGACTTCCAATACTCTGTTGCATAATGGTGGTGATAAGGGACAACCCTGTCTTGTTCCTGAACATAGAGCAAAAGGCTTCAGTTTTTCACTGTTAATTATGATATTAGCCAAGGGTTTGTTATATATGGCTTTTATTATGTTAAGATATTTTCCTTCTATATCTATTTTATTAAATGTTTTAATAATAAATGAATGTTGTATATTGTCAAACACTTTTTCTGAATCCATTGATATAATCATATGATTTTTGTCTTTTGTTTATGTGGCATAGCACATTAACCGATTTGTATATGCTGAACCATCCTTGTGCCCCTGGGATGAACCCTACTTGATCATGATGAATCATCTTTTTAATGCATTGTTGTAATAAATTTGCTAGAATATTTTTTAGGGTTTTTGCATCTGTATTAATCAGAGATATTGGTCTGTAATTTTCTTTTTGTGTGTGTTATCCTTACCAGGTTTTGGTATCAGGGTAATGTTGGCCTCATAAAATGAGTTAGGGTATATCACCTCTTCTTCAGTTTTTTGGAAGAGTTTGAAGAGGAAAGGCATTAGATCCTCTTTGAATGTTTGGTAGACTTCACTAGGGAAGCCATCTTGTCCTGGACTTTTGCTTTTGGGAAGGTTTCGGATGACTGATTCAATTTCCTTACTATTGATCGGTCTATTTAGATTTTCCAGTTGTTTGCAATTCAGTCTAGGAAGGCTATGTGTGTCTAAGAACTTGTCCATTTCTTCTAGGTTATTGAATTTGGTGGCATATAGTCCTCATAGTATTCTTGGATGATCCTTTGTGTTTCTGTGGTATCCAAGGTGACTCCTCTTTCATTTCTGATTTTGTTTATTTGTGTCTTTTCTCTTTTTATTTTAATGAGCCTAGCCAAGGGTTTGTCAATTTTATTAATCTTTTCAAATAACCAGCTCTTTGTTACATTAATTTTTTCTATTGTCTTTTTGTTCTCTATTTCATTTAGCTTTGCCCTGATTTTTATTAATCCCTTCCTTTTGCTGACTTTGGGTTTCATTTGTACTTCTTTTGCTAGTTTTTTAAGGTTTAATTTTAGGTTGTTTATCTGGGATAGTTCTTCTTTCTGGGGATAGGCCTGTGATGATATAAATTTCCCTCTTATTACTGTTTTTGCTGCATCCCAATAATTTTGATAGTTATGTCTTTTCATTCTCATTTGTTTCTATGTATCTTTTGAACTCTCCTCATTTCTTTTTCAGCCCAGTTGTTCTTTAAAAGCATGTTGTTTAATCTCCACATATTTGTGTTTTTTCCTGCTTACTTTCTGCAGTTGATACCCAATTTCAAAGCCTTGTGATCAGAGAATATGCTTGGTATGATTTCAGTCTTCTTCATTTTTCTGAGGCTAGTTTTATGTCCCAGTATATTTTCTATCCTTGAGAATGTTCCATGTACACTAGAAATGAGTGTATAGTCTGATGTTCTAGAATGAAGTGCTCTATAAATGTCAGTTATGTCCATTTGGTCTGATCTGTCATTTAGGGCTGATACTTCCTTATTTGTTTTCTGTTTCGATTACCTACCCATAATTGTCAATAATGTTTTCGGTCTCCTACTATAATTATTTTAGGTCAATTTCTCCCTTTAGTTTTGTTAGATATTGCTTTGTATGTTTTGGTACTCCCTGATTGGGAGCATATATATTGATAAGTGCCATGTCTTCTTGTTGTATTGTCTCTTTTTTCATTATGACATGTCCATCTTTGTCTCTTGTTACCATTTTTGTCCTGAAGTCTGTTTCATCTGATATCAGTGTGGCTACACCTGCTTTTCTCTGAATACCATTTGCTTGGAGTGTCAATTTCCACCCTTTCACTTTGAGTTTATATTTGTTCTTGTAGCTGAAATGTGTCTCTTGGAGGCAGCATATGGTTGGGTTTTGTTTTTTTATCCTATCTGCTACTCTGTGCCTTTTTATTGGTGAGTTCAGTCCATTTAGATTTAGAGTATTTATTGATTTATGAGGATTTCCTATCATTCTATCTTTTGTTTTCTGGTGGCTCGGTGGCTCCATTTTTTCTTTGCCTTTTTGTTGCTCTGTTATTTTAGTATAGTGGTAGTCTATGATTTTACCCTGTGTTTCTTCTTTTTTTATATATCTCAGTTCTGATTTTTTTTTTGAGTGGTTAACATTAAGTTTATGTAAAAGAAAGTTTCATATATACAGTAGTCCTTTTTTTTCAGTATGCTTTTTTTCTATTCTCTTTTGCAGGTTCAGTGAACCTTTACCCTCCCCTTTTATGTTTTTTTTGTCAAAAGTTATCCTTACTTATGCTGTGAGTTGATTTCTGAGTTGCAATAGCAAGTTGCCTTTTTCTTCTTTTTCCTTTTTTAAAGTCTTTTTTTTCTTTACTCTTTATGTTATGTTTAAGTGTATAATGCCCTATTTTGTGTAGGGGCTGCCAGTTCCTGCTTCTGCCTGTCTGTTTGTAATACTCCTCATGGTTTTGTATTCTCTTGATTTTTTTGTTTCAGGTTAAGTAGCTGCCTTCAGTTTTTTTTATGATGCAGGTCGTGTTTTAGAAAATTCCCTCAGCTTCTGTATGTCTGGAAATGTCTTTATTCCTCCTTCATATCTAAATGATATCTTTGCTGGATATAGTATTCTTGGCTCATAATTTCTCTCTTTTAATAATTTGCACATTCGTTTCCACACCCTTCTGCTTGTAGAGTTTCTGCTGAAAAATCTGATGGTAATCAAATGGGCTTTCCTTTGTAGGTTACTGTCTTTTTTCCCTGGCTACCTTGAGGATTTTTTCTTTGTCATTAATTTTTGATAGCTTCAATAAGGTGTGCCTTGGAGAAGGCCTAATGGGATTGAGATTATTTGGTGTTGTATTTGCTTCTTGGATTTGGGGATCCAGTTCTTTCCACATGTTTAGGAAGTTCTCATTAACTATTTGTTTGAATAGACTCTCTGTTCCTTCTCCCTTTCTTCTCTATCTGGTAAGCCTGTTATTCTTATGTTGTTCTTTCTGATGGAATCAGATAGTTCTTGTAGAGTTCTTTCATTTCTTTTAACTCTGAAGTCTCTCTCTTCTTCCATCTGTATCATTTCCAGATTTCTATCTTTGGTATCATGAATTCTTTCCTCCATCTGGTCAGCTCTGTAACCTATGCAGGCTATTACATTCTTGAATTCTTTTATTAACTTCTTCATCTCCAGAAGTTCTATTTGGTTCTTTTTAAAAAATTTCAATCTCTTTGGTAAAATGTTAATTTTGTTCTTTGATTGTGTTTCCAAGTTCATTAAACTGCCTGTCTGTGTTTTCTTGCATCTCATTGTGTTTTTTCAGAGCTGTAGTCTTGACTTCTCTGTCATTTAAGTCACATATTTCCATGTCTTTAAGTTCATTTTCTGGAGACTTTTCATTTTCTTTCTGACCTGCCTTATTACCTTGGTTATTCCTGGCAATTAATTATTATTTCTCTTCCTAGGCATCTACAAGAGTGTATTCTGCGACAGGTTGATAGGAGGTCTTTATTTCGCTTTCCAGTAGGTGTTGGTGGAATGTTTTATTTTCTCTTCCTCTGTAGCCTTTTATTCTCTCTCAAACTGTTGTGTTATATTTTCTCTTGCATTGTTCCAGTTTCTCACATGATGGGGGGAGGGGGGGTTAACTTGAAGGTAGGTTTCTCCTCTGTGAGCAGGTCACCTGGGTCTCAGGGCACTGCCTCCATGGTGGGATGTGGAGAGCTTCTGATGTCCCAAAGCTCTTCCTGCAACCAAATTCAGAGACTGTGTGTCTCAGCTGCTCTGGTTACCCCTGCAGGGATCCACCCAGATAGGTGGGGGTGGGGTGGGTTGTAAGAGTTGGCTCTGAGCAATGGCAACTACCAATCCACAGTTTTCTTGCCCCTACAGTTTCTTACCTTTTGCCGGAATCAGTTGTGCTGTGAGTCTGGCTGTGGGGCTGCAGTTCTCAGAGCTGCAAATATTCTGTTCTTTTGATCTGACACTGCTACCGTTTTTTCTGGAGTCTGCTTCTAGCATTGGGAGAGTGGAAGAGGGGTGAGCTCTGGGAAAGTGGGGAGGGGTGGGCCAGGCTCTGTGCCTGTCTTCTGTCCTCTGCTTGGCAGTGAAGGCTTAAATCACCATTCTCACCCTTGTTCCCTCAGTCTTTGCTCCAAGGTCTCTGACATGAGCATTTGGTTCAGCCCTGTTATATGCTCATCCCTCAGGCGGGACTGTGGGCCATAGGGGTGCACTTCCCTCTCCTGCAACTGTGGTAAGCTCCAGAATGCAGGGAGCTCTGAGCTCCGGTTTGTGTCCTGTGGCCTGTGGCCCACATCTCCACACTTTCCCCTTCCCTCCTCTCCTGCTCACCCAAATTGCCCACCTTTAGATGATTCCAATTGCTGGTCTCTCAGGCATGCCTGTGTGCCATGCAGGTAGTACTTTGTGGAATTATAGCTGTTCAATTTGTTGTGAATTCCAGGGGAGATTTCAAGAAGCACTCCTCACACCCATTTCTGTGACATAATCCCCATAATTAGAGTTTTTTGAGTACTAGCCTTTTCTGTTTGCTCTTATACCTGGCACCTTTCAGGGGCTTCAACTAAATCTCTTTCACTAGGCTCCCACTTGATGTGTCTTGAACCCAGCACTGTGTGACTACAGAAAACGCTACTTAGCATTTTAGATTCTTAGCTACTGTTTTCTACTTGGCTTCTAGGACTTGTGTCTTGTACAGTTTAGGAATCTATAAATGCCTTGATGGGAAAATACAGTGAGAATATTAAACCTACTTTTCTGCTGCTCCCTTGGCTTCTCAAATCCTAGCTGCACCTGTTCCCCAGAACTCCAATTTTTGTCTCTTTATAGCTCCATGAGATCATCAAAAGTTCTGATCTGCTGCTTTCTCCTTTTACCCTGTACAGTTTATACTTCAACAGGAAAATTAACAGAGAATAGTACTGTTGCTCAACTACTATTTCCTCCTCTCTGGAATTTTGATCCCTTGAGTTATAACTACCTGAGTTGTATTCTGATCCCTTTCAAACAGCTGATTTTTTTTGTACTCTTATCCAGTGGTTAAAGTTGTTCTCAGAGACAGAATTGGTCAAATACAAGCCACCCTATAAAAGCTGGAAGTGGAACATTGCTAGTTTTGTGACTCTGATATCAACATTTCCACAAAAATTTCATTTGTATAACTAGCATATGTAGGAGGTCTTTTGTTAGTCTGTACAGAAAATTTGCAATATCATATCATGTTCTAATATTCCCTTACCATTAATTTTCCACCTAACCTAAAATCTAATTATAAAACATACATGTACTGGAACTTACCCATAATTCCAACCCCAAATGTTCACTTAAGTCTCTAAGTCAAATTTTATTTTCTTTGATCATCATTCTAACTCTTTCCTAGTCCTTATCTTATCTATGACAAAAATCTGGTGGAACCCATGTGTGAATGACCTCTCGGAATCTGCATTATTCCTCTGTTCACTGCTTGTCTATGGATGTTTCTCAGGACACACTTGATGCCAGTCTGCACAGCTTCCAACAAGAGAGACTGTCTAAGATAACTGACTTAAAAGATCAACTGGTGACTGCTCAGCACAGCCAGACTAAAGCTATTGAGGAGCGCCATGCTGCCTTGCTGAGTCTCTGGGAAAAGCTTCTGGAAGCCTCTGCAGCCCACAAAGACAAATTGCTGGAGAAACAGCTGCCCCTACGAAAGGTAAATTTTTAAAAAATTGATGAGCCATAAGGTCTTGATTATCTGTATACTAGCCATGGAATCCAGAAATAGATAGTGGAAACCCTGTTTGGATAATCTATAGATATTTGAGTAAGTAAGTACTTTGAAAAAGATCAAGAAGATATTCTTATTGAGCAAGAAGTAATTCATTTTTTTTAGATTGATAGAATGTTTTTTTTAAGACTGATTTGTCAGTTATCCAGATGACTTGATATGAAATCCAGGCATGTGTAATGGAAGAGGTAGGTAAGACAAGAGGGTGGAAGATCTTACTATATGGAAGACCTAAAATTGGCAGGCTAGATAAAAGGTCATTCTTGTGCTTTTCTTTAACTCAAATAAAAGGAGAACTAGACAAGTAAAACTTGTGTTCTCATCTTTCCTGGCTGGGAATCTTTATATATATCAGTTAACATCTCTGAACATCTCTGAAATAGGATAATGCTACTGCCATCTCCTGCTCTTCTGTGTCATTACTATGTTATTACTATTAAAAGAGGCAATGGATCTGAAAATGCAGTATAAACCATTAAGTTGTATATGGATATATGTGATTAAGATGTTCTTTCTAGTGGTAGCTGCTAAGGTATTAGACGTTGATCATTTAAAAAGATCAATAATAAAAGAAAGTGAGGATGGTCAGTGAAATTACTGAGGATTCCTAGACCAGAACAAGTACTATACCTGGCAACAAGTTAAGGTAGGGAGTTAGGGGAATTAGATAGAAAACAAACACACAGAAATCAGTAAGTTTGGACCCTTAGTTAATTTTTACTGTATTAAAAGACATGAAACCTAATTTTAGGTGAAAAATTGAATCAGTTAATGGGTAACTTCATAAATATATAAAAACATAACTATATTTTACATTCTTTTTTTATTTATTAAATTTATTGGGGTGACAGTGGTTAGTAAAATTATATAGGTTTCAAGTGTACATTTCTGTAATACATCATCTAAATATTGCATTGTGTGTTCACCGCCCAGAGTCAGTTCTCCTTCCATCACCATATATTTGGTCCCCTTTTCCCTCTTCCACCACCTCCCCTCTCCCTTTATCCTCTGTTAATCACTAAACTGTTGTCTGTGTCTATGAGCTTTTGTTTCTTTGTTTGTTTGTCTTGTTCCTGTGTTGCTTTCAGTTTTATATTTCACATATGAATGACGTCATATGGTTCTTGGCTTTTTCTGTCTGACTTATTTTGCTTAGCATAATAATCTCAAGATCCATCCGTATTGTCACAAATGGTAGTATTTCATCTTTTCCTATGGCCCAGTAGATAGTTCACATTCTGACTCTATTATTTTACTTTCTGATTATAAAATCTTTGTAAGATATTCAGTTGATCCATAGTATTATGAAAATAATATTAAGTACTTTATGGTTTTCATGTTCTTCCTGTGTAGGGGCCATATTAGTTTACTCTGTGTTGATCTATTTTAGCATATAGATTGCTGAAATGAGTATATGGAAAATGTAATAGTGCACAACCTTGTATCTCCCTTTCATTTGGGCCAATTTTTTCCTCTTTAATCCTTATGTTTGGGGATGAAAATTCATTTGTATAACATAAATCTCCTTGGAAGTAGAGTCTACTGACCCAAAATATATAATAAATTTAAAATCTAAACTATTTTTGATTACATACTGTTTGGAACAATCCATATTATTTCTCTCATTCAGAAATTCAGAGTCATTCACTTATAGATACAGAGAACAAATTGATGATGACTAATTGGGAGGAACTTGGGGGGAATGGCTTAGAAAGGTGAAGGGATTAGGAAGTACAAATTGATAGTCACAAAATAGTAATGGGGATATAAAATACAGTATGGGGAATATAGTCAATAATGTTATACAACTATGTATGGTATTGATGAGTACCAGACTTATTAGGGGGATTACTTCTTAAACTATATAAATGCCTAAGCACTATACTGTACACCTGAAACTAATATAAAATAATATTGAATGTCAACTATAATTGAAAATATGTGTATAGTCATAGGATATAAAGTGCAGCATAGGGAATATAGTCAATGGTATTGTAATAGCTATGTATGGTGTAAAATGGGTAAGTCTTGTTGAGGTTATCACTTTGTGAGGTGTGTAAATGTCTAATCATTATTGTACACCTGAAACTAACAATATAAATATAAGAAATATAAAAGTGAACTGACATAAAAAAGATGTTATTAAAGATTAATATTAAAGGGTATTAATCACAGTACTATTTGTAATGGAGAAAATTGGAAACAGTATAAACAGGCAATAATAAGGTAATGTTTAAATATATTGTGGCAAAGCAGTATGATAGCTCATTTAGCCATTAAATTATATTTTAAAATAATATTTAATTATCATCATAGCCTGAAAACTCATGCTTTATTAAAGGAATATAACTAGAAATCTGTATGAAAAAAAAAAAGAAAGAAATTCAGAGTCATTTAGAACATATGGATAACTCCAGCGAGTATTGCAGGAATAAGAATACAGGTTAGAGGGAAGGAAATGGGTTTAAACAGGGGCTTCAGGCATGAGATAAGCCTAAACAAAGTGTAGAAGAATGGTAGAAAAGAAATTCAGTATACACAAAAGGACATCAGAGAGCTGTGATCTGCAGAAGATCAGAAGAAAGAGGAAGTGGATAAAGGATGAAATAGATTTGCTTATTCCATGAACTATTTGTTCATTTTATCATTCATTCATTCATTCATTCATTCATTCATTTAACACCTATTTTTACATATTTGCTATGCCAAGTAGAGTTGAAATACAGACTTCAGAATAGGAAATCTTATCATCCAAAGTGACCTTTGCCACTTTTGGAATCTTAGAGCTAAAATAAATCTAGAAGTCATTCAACCTTCTAATTTGTAGATGATGAAAAACTTGACCAGTTTCACCTTATGAGAAAATGTCAGGATCAGAGCTTATACCTCGAATTCACATGTCCATCCATCTGATCCTATAGTTCCCATTGGTTTTAGTTTTTCAGTCTTAGAATGTTGGCCCTGAAAATATCTGAAGACAGTCATTTTTTGTATCCTCAGTCTTTTCCTCTCTTCTCTTTAGTCAATTCTTCTTCTATTCTCTTTCTATTGGGAAAGATGGAGGTATTTTTTTCTTCCTCTGTAGGCTGAGGAGCTATTCATGGAATTTGCACACAAGGCTTCAGCTTTCAACCACTGGTGTGAAAATGCCGAGGAGGACCTGTCAGAGCCTGTGCACTGTGCCTCCCTGAATGAGATTCGCGAGCTGCAGAAGAACCACGAGGACTTCTTGGCCTCCTTGGCCAGGGCGCAAGAAGACTTCAACTATTTGTTAGAGCTAGACCAGCAGATTAAGTCCTTAAATGTGCCCTCCAGCCCTTATACCTGGTTAACTATGGAGGTCCTAGAAAGGGTCTGGAAGAACCTATCTGACATCATCAAGGTAGCTTGAAGCACAGCAGAAACTTCCTTTGGCTATAGTAATCATGAACATTTAGATTATTACCCAAGTTGGGAAACTTTTGAGATGGAAAGGAACACTATTAATTAGGACAGCAGTCATAAACTAGAGAGTCTAAGAAAATTTTGGAAATAAATTCATTATATGTATAGCTCTGTGCCCCATAGTTTGGACAGCTTCATGCTTCTGGGTGTTGAGAAGTGATTTAGGGAAGCAAACACAAGCTCTAGGAGGTAGTTCTAAAAATGAGTTATAAAAAGTTCATGAGGCTTGTATATATCTTTACAGTCTATATATTCCCCCATCAAAGGCATTCTCTATTTTATACACACCTCCAAAAGTGCCTTTTTAAAGTGTTTGCATTTAATTTTTGTTTGTCTATGATAATGTTCATTATAGAAGCTACAGAAAATATTTAAAAGTTTAAAAAAGGAAAATTTTACCATAGAAGTGCCAACTTTACACGGCAACTCTTATTACTACTTTTCTTTTTAAGGTAGCTTTTATGTTCATTTACATTTCACCTGGAAAAAAAAATTGAGAAAAGGTTTGACTTTATTACTTGATTATTTGTTACTGGGGTTGGTCTTTGAGACTCTGCAAGTACTGATGGGAAGTGTCACGAGCTTTTTTCACCTTTTGGAGATAAGAATATGTGGACTGGAAGAAATGTGAACACATAGGTACAGGCTCTGGAAGATAGGTTAGATTTGGGAAAGTTAACACATGCAGAAGAGCCTGGGAACCAGCCATTTTATAGCAAAGAAATAAAAAAAAGGTCTTCAGTATGTACAACACTATCTGTGATTTGGGGTTTTAGGAACGGGAGCAGGAGCTGCAAAAGGAAGAGTCAAGACAGGTGAAGAACTTTGAGCTGTGCCAGGAGTTTGAACAGAATTCCAATTCCTTTCTTCAGTGGATCTTGGAGACCAGGTGTGTGTGTGCTACCTGAATCTTATGATCCCTGTATCACACATTCCATTTCTTATAAGGATAACATACATATATGAGGGCCTGAGAAGGAGGGGCTTCTACAGCATGTATGCTGTCATAAAATCCCCATGTCATATGTGTGCTTTATATTTTTAATTGATTGCTTTATGAATCAATCCTTGCAAAATTGAGAAATGAGAATTTCATATTGCTGCCCATGGTGTACCCTTCAGCATTCTCTCCTTGATGCTCTCACTTATTTTTCTGTTGCCTATAATTACAGTCCAAAAATAATAACAGTCCCTTATATTTGCATACCACTTTTCACTTTACAAAGTACTTCTATACCCATTACGTCACTTAATTTTTAGAGCAGCCTTGAAAAGTGTACAAAGCAGATGTTATTACCTCTGTTTCCAAGTGAGGAAAAAAGTTTAATAGATAAATTGATTTGCTCAAGATCACATATGTGTTTATTGAAACAAGCAGCATCAGAGCATATTGTGAACACCTAATTTGAAGCTCTTATGTTGCCTGACTACTAAAGCTGTGATGAGAATCAAGTGAGATAATATATGCTAATTGCTTTTACCAAATGCAAAGTGTTCTATATGTGAAAATAACACTTGTCACATCTTCTAGGGAAAATAACCTGGAAAAAAGGAGGCTTAGAAGGTGTACTACGTTAGAATAAATGGTCTAAGTTGGTAGACTGTATCCAGTAGGTGGGTCAGAATTGTGGAGTTTCGCAAGTTAAAATGGCGGTGTAGACAATCCATGATATATACTGTTTCTACACTGTACTAACAAGGATAAATCAAACAACTAACAAAATGAAATCCTGTGTCATAGCTAAAGTACATCTGACAGAAAGCAGAGGAAATACAGTTCATCCTTCTCTGCCTCTGGTTTTGGTTCTTCACCCCCGGCAGCATGTGGCCAACACTGAGCATATCACCTGACTCCTGTGTGCTTCCTCCTTACAGCAAGTAACTGCACAGAAGGCTCTTAGCGTCTCAGTGTGGAAGAGACTTTTGGAACAGTGGGTGGAACACGTTCATATGTTTTTGGCTACAAAAGATTGAGGATGTTTCATAAATCTGAAGAAAAAAGATCATTAAAGTAATCCATGTTAACATATGATTTCCCTTTTTTCTTTTCTGATTCCTGTTCCGGTCTTCCATGTCCAGGGCTTATTTTCTGGATGGGTCAGTATTTTTATGTTATTGTATCTGTTTTTTTATAATGTTCTGGAATAATTAGCTAAGAAGGCTTTAGTACTGAGGCATCTTCATCCCATCTCAATCTGATGGTGTCAAAATAAAAATGTAGGGTGAAAAAGAGAAGCCAAGTATATACTCGTATATCATTCTAGCTCCTCACCCCACTAGTGAAGTCTTGCCTATATTAGGTTAAGGGTATGTTTGAAAATAACTAGGAAGGAGGTCTGGAAGCCTTCTCATAGGCAGAGAAAAATCTATCTGGCAATGTTGCCAATAGAGAGGTTTGGTTTCGTGAAAATTTGCTGTTATGAAAATTTAATTCTGAGAGGCCATGTAACTTGGAATAAGTAGCAATAGAGAAGTGTAGGGGCTCTGAGTTTGTCTGTGTGAAATGCTGATCTCTGATATTATAAGTAATGTTTTCCTCTGGTTCTAACTAGATCTTTGCTCAAAGAAACAGGAACTCTGGAATCCCAGTTGGAAGCAAATAAAGTAAGTAATGTTTATTCATTAGCTCAGGATACTGCCGGAATTACAAGAGTGCAAAAAGGGGTGCTTAAAGAAAATTCTTAGGAATACTTCTAGGTAAATTCCCTGGCCTGAAGGTCAAGAGCCTGAGGCTCTGGTGCCAACCCTGCCAAAAATTTCTGTTCTAATCATTGGCCACCACTTCATGGATATCAGATTGCTTAAATCTCTGAACTTCAATTTCTGTATCTATACAATGGAGTTAATAATACCTACATTATAGAGTTACTATATTGATTAAGTAAGGGAACAAATGCCAAAGCTTCTAGCCTGAAACCTGAAACATTGACAAATTTCTGTTATTATTTGATAATAACAGTTAATTGACAATACAGTTGAATCTAGATGATCTCTTAACAACTAAGTGAAGCAGTGGGCGAGAGTGGTGTTTCTTAACCTTATTTTCATTATTGACCCTCAGAAGAAAAAAATTAATTAATTAAATATAATTTCTTGTTAAGGAGAGAAAAATACTAAATAATAAGATGTTGTCAGGAAGGCTTGATCTTTGCAGGGCTGCAAGCCATTGTAATAGCTAATGTTTTTTTTTACCAGTCCCCATCATCATTCACTCTTCCTCTCTCTAGGGAAAATATTCCCTGGCTGAGAAAGCATGGTTTAGATGCAGAAATGTAGTGTAAAATGTGCCTGAATGATAGGAACATTTTGTGGAAGTCTTCTCAAACTGGTGAAGGAGGTCCAAGAGTGAACACTGTGGAGCTTAAGTAGGCCTAAGAACTCATCCACAATCAATAGTGCAGATAATCCATGATGAAAACCACTGAGAGCTGGTGATGCATGGATCTTGGAAATTCTAACCTTTCCTATCTGTAGTACACAACTACTAACTCTTTGATTTATATATTACAGATTACCAGAATGAGAGTGGTCATATTTCGTAATCTTTCTACTACTTTTTAAGTGAGGAACACAGAAGTAACATGGTTTTCCTGAGTAGTTCATTTTTCATGGAGGACAGGAATATCCCTGAAAATAATTGCAAAGGAGCAATTAGGGGAAACTCGGACTCATTGGTTTCTTATCTTCACTCCCATGCCTAGGTTTGGACAGGTGGCCTGAGTGACTGTCACTCTTCTTCCCTTTCTCCAGAGGAAGCAGAAGGAAATCCAGGTGATGAAGCGTCATCTGACCAAGATTGAGGATCTGGGGGACAACTTAGAAGAGGCTCTGATCCTAGACATCAAATACAGCACCATTGGATTGGCCCAGCAGTGGGACCAGCTCCACCAGCTTGGAATGCGAATGCAACACAATCTGGAACAACAGATACAAGCCAAGTACTGAAAATCTATGTCCAAGACTGGGGAAGTGTGTGGGCGGTCTTAGGTGTTACAAACTTAACTCCGAGGGCTACAATTTGGGGTAGTGGATAAAAGAGCTGCTTCAGAGATAGTAAACTCACCATCTTCGGAACCAATATTCTCTCTCTTTACTGTCCCACAGAGTAACTGTTTCTCTTTATTCTATTATGAAATAAGAGTCAATGCTCTCATTGCCCTAAATCTACTCATCATCCAATTCTTAGCATCCCTTTACCATATTATGTAATCTCTTCAGAAAGAATTCCCTTTTGTGAAATTCCTGCTAAAAATGTCTAGCATGCAAGAAATATTCAAGGTATAGGGCAGAAGCACTGAATTCGGTTTTTTTCTAAAAAAAATTAACTGTATTAAAGAAGATTTAGGTCTCCATAGCTTTTTGTCAGTGTTATTATCTAGATCAGAGACTGGTAAACTTTTTCTGTAAAAAGTCTGATAATAAATATTTTAGACTTTGTGAACCAAATAGTCTCTGTTATAACTACTCAACTCTGCTGTTGTGGAGAGAAAGTAGTTACTGATAATTTATATGAATGAACATGGACACGTTCCAATAAAATTTCAATTATGGACACTTAAATTTGAATTTCATGTCATTTTATAAATCATTCTTCTTCTTTTGATTATTTTCAACCATGTAAAAATTTTAAAAACATTCTTAGCTTATTGACTATACAAAAGCAAGTGACAGACTGGATTTGGCCCATGAACCATGGTTTGCCAAGCCCTGAACTGAATGACTTGTATAGCATAATTCTCACTAAAATTCTCTATTTCATGTTGCATGTCTTCTGCTTTTCTCTGTTTTGCTTAATGTCTTAATTAATGCTTTTTATTTCAGAGACACCATAGGTGTGAGTGAGGAGACACTAAAGGAGTTTAGCACAACCTATAAGTGAGTATAACTTCATAGTTGATTGGTTCTTTGTTTTTCAGTCCATTCATAATTAATTTCCAAATAACAACTTTTCCCTCAGTGTAGCTTTGTAGGATCTTAAATGAAGATCCAGTTATGTTATTTAGCTTCAAGTTATAGCTTATATGTAATATGTCTATGAGATTCCTGGACTTTAGAAAATATGTTTCTTTTGTGTTCAACATTTTTTGGTTTTTCCTCCATTTGTTAGGTTAAAAAAATGTGGAAACACAGGCCAGCTCTACACTCAATTCTCTGATAACATTATGTCATGTTAATAAAGCCCCTGCTGATGCAACAAGAACCATTCTTTTTTGTTGTAATCTGGTTCTCTGTTGAACTTGATAAAATGTTTTTATCCTTTAGACACTTTGATGAGAATTTGACAGGGCACTTGAGTCACAAAGATTTCCGGTCCTGCCTAAGAGGACTCAATTACTACTTGCCCATGGTGGAGGAAGGTGAACCTGAACCCAAGTTTGAGAAATTCCTGGATGCCGTCGACCCAGGGAGGTAGGAGAAACGCCAAGGGCCAGACCATAGCAGGGAATGGGCTTTGGAGGGACAAGCACAGAGAGTAAAATGATCCATAAGACACGAAATTAACTCAGCTTGAAAATAAGAAGATACAGGTTCCCATAAATAAATTGGACAGCTTTTAGTGTCCTTCCAGGATTAGATCAGAAGTCTATGGCACTAACTCCAACTCAGGCATGAGCTCTGCAATTTGATCAATTCCTGGTTTATGTTTGTCATATGAATTTCCTCTAGTTCTGAGAATGGAACCTGAGAGAAGAGTCCCTTCATGTGTGTAAGGTCCTAAGGATGACTGACTCTTGGGGGTGGGGTTGTTATGTGCTTGTGAGGGTGGAGTGTAGTCATAGAGGGATCACATTATTGTTAGGGACTAATTCTTTCTAATACCAAGACCAAAGAAGACCAGAAATAGAGGTCTTCAACTCAACTTGTAGTGCTTGAGGTACCTAGATACTGGTGCTGATAGGAAATTCCCAAATTCGATGTAGTGTGTCAGGCTGAAAGACCCCTATGGAAACAGAGGCTGGAACTTAGGAAATGGTTTATTTGGCTGTAAGGCATGAGGGTGAGGGTCAAATAGAGATTATAGTTTCAGAGACCTGAGTTGGAAGAAGCACTTGAAAAATCTGGCTTCCCTGTCTCTGAGACACTGCATAGGATGAGAAAGTGGTCTGCCTTCTTTTCTGGCTGTTGAGAAGACACAGTTCCTGATCCATTTCTCCCACAGGAAGGGTTATGTCTCACTGGAGGACTATACCTCATTCCTGATTGACAAGGAGTCAGAGAACATCAAATCCAGCGATGAAATAGAGAATGCTTTCCAAGCCCTGGCAGAGGGCAAGGCCTATATTACCAAAGAGGACATGAAGCAGGTCAGAATTCAATTGCGTTTACTCTCATCATAATCTAGATTTTGCTCATCTCAGGCCTGGTTACAACTACCCTCACCCCACCTCTTTTTTATCTCAGATATCATCTTGCTTTAGATATCATTTACTTTTTTTTCCCATTTCATGTCATGAACAAAACCTACAGTCAATCTCTAATGACTATCAGGGTCAATTCCAAACCTGAAACTCAATTTTCAAAGAAATTTCTTTTCCCATTTATTTAATAATAAAAATTTATGGACTACAATAAATAGTGTAGGGAAAGTGAGATGGGATTCTTCAGGTAAGAACTGAGTTGAAGAGATTAGTGGGTCTTATTCATCAGAAATTATGGATTTATGAGAAAGTATGTGATATGAATAGAGCTGACTTCTTCTAAAGTTCCTCCACCCCCTAGGTGTAGCACATACTGGAAGCCCCAAGGAACCATGTATTGTGAATTCCTGTCACTATATCTCTTTCTTTTTATGTTTCAGGCCCTAACCCCAGAACAAGTGTCATTTTGTGCATCACACATGCAGCAATATGTGGACCCAAGGGGCCGAAGCCATCCTGCTGGCTATGACTATGTTGGCTTTACCAGTTCCTACTTTGGCAACTGATAATCAGTTTTTCCTGGATCATATATAATCTTGGTGTGATGGAAAGTATTGGGGGATGAAGAAGACAGGCAAGTACAGAGGGTGGGAAGATAGTACTCTGTGTGTGTGTGTGTGTGTGTGTGTGTGTGTGTGTGTTTATTACATTTATTACAGGACCTGAAAACAATCTCAAGCTTGGGAGATATAAGGCATTAATAGAGTTGGAGGAGAGGAGACCATGGACTTATTTTGTATGAAGCCATTATCTACTGAGGGGTGCTAAATTCTCTATTTTTTTATTTGTTGCATTCTATATATCTTTATTATTGTTCTGTTCTGATTCTAACAAAGTTTTCATTTTAGAATTGTGCACTTGAAACCTGTGTAATTTTACTAACCATTGTCACCCCAATAAATTAAATTTTAAAAAAGAAAAAAATTTAAAGTATTTTTAATATGGCAATGTGAAGTAAAATGTTACTGACTCGGTTGGGTATCTGTATTTCTGAGTATTGTCCTATCATCTGGGCAACTAATTACATTGTAAATAAGGGCCATTGTAGAGTAGATAAATAAAATCCAAGATGATTTACAAACAAGTTCTCTTGAGCTTTGGAATGTGTTTAAATTTTTACATTTGAAAATGAAGGTATTTGATAGCCTGAGGAATCTTAATATTTTAGTCTGTAGAATGGAACCACACAGAGAAGACCAACGTATCACCTAGTCCCTTCTTAATCTGTTCTTTTTTCATACTTCTCCATTAGAATGGATATTATTAGCCTCAGAGTGGCAAAATTTCAGCACAGAAGGGCTTCCTTTTGTCCGCCATGTCCCCAAATTTCCTATAAATTTTAATGTGATAAAAAGAATATTTGTTTTGATTTACTTCCATCTTCTATTAGTGGAAGAGTCAGTAGAATTGCATATAAAATTAAGAATTAAGGAGGAAAAAAACCAAGAAGAATTTTCAGCCATTTTTGGCCTGAACAGGTTCATACGCTGACATTCTGTCCTGACTTATAAAAGTTGATAATGTCATTTGCTGGTGAGAATTCTTAGGTCATCTTTTCACCTTGTTTGAAACTTCTAGTATCCTACACAGTCTCCACCTCCCCATCCATATATATTACCACTTGATTACTATCTTAAGTCTCAATCTCATCCTTTATATAGAAATTAGTTCTTCCTTAGTCAGGGACAAATCCTGTCACAAAAGACATTTAAAAAATTTTTGGTTAAAAGTAAAAAGCTATCTTTGTGGCTAATAATGTATAAATGTTTTTACTGATTTTTGCTTAATTGGATAATGTGGAATATGACAATCAATAAGTATTTTGAAGTATATATATATATATATAAAATACTATTCTGCCATAAGAAAAGATGAAATAGTGCACTTTGCGACAACAGGGATGGATCTTGAAATTATTATGCTAAGCAAAATAAGTCAGACAGAAAAAGTCAAGAACCATATTATTTCATTGATATGTGGGATACAAAACTGAAAACAACAAAGGAACATGACAAACAAATAAAGAAACAAGAACTCATAGTCACAGACAATAGTTTAGTGGTTACAAGATGGTAGGGGGGAGGGGAGTGCTAAGTGAGGGTAAAAGGGATCAAATACATGGTTATGGAAGGAGAACTGACTCTGGGTGGTGAACACACAATGTTATATGTAGATGACTTATTACAGAATTGTACACTTGAAACCTATGTAACTGTACTAACCATTGTCACCCCAATAAACTTTAATTTAAAAAATTTAAGGGCCGGCCGAGTGGCGCATTGGTTAAGAGCTGGCTTGGGATGCCAGAGGGCCCCGGTTCGGATCACACATATGAGGGCCAGTGACACTGCCCTCTACAGCTAAGATGCTGAACAACAGCTCAACTTGGAGCTGGGCTGCCATGAGTC